GTCAGACGGTCAGACAGACGGATGGACAGACAGACAGACGGACGGACAGACAGACAAACAGACAGATACAGTTACAGTACCTGTTGCTCCTTTATTGATTTGACATCACTGAACTCAGAGCAGTAATAATAGTGATTTGTGCATTAGAAAACACATCTAATAATATGACAGTCTAACATGTTTCACATGTTTCACAGCCCCAGCCAGTCTTATTTTAGTATTATTTATATACTATTATAGTATGTATTCATATTTTTCATATTTTTTTTATTTTTCAGTTTTCAATTTAGTAAATTTGTCATGCATGTTTGTCTTTTTTTTTCTGCATTTCTGTTTAGTTTTAAATTTGATGTATAGATATCAGTGTTAATTTACTATTGTTTATATGCTATTATAGTATTAATTCATATTTTGAATTAGCTGTTATTTTTATATTTTCAGTTTCATTTTAATTTTCGTTTAAGTTTTAGTAATTTTGTTATGTGCTTTTGTTATTTTCATTATTTTCTTTTTAATATTTTTATTTAACTTTAATTTTTGTGTATAAATATCAGTGTTAATTTAGTATTGTTTATATACTATTATAGTATTTATTCATATTTTGAATAGCCTTTTTTGTTTTCAGTTTTAGTTTCAGTTCAGTTTTAAGTTTTGGTAATTTTATGTGCTTTAATCATTTTTATTAATTTTTTATATTTCTATTTAGATTTAATTTTGGTGTATAAATATCAGTGTTAATTTAGTATTGTTTATATATTATTATAGTATTCATATTTTGAAATAGCTTTTATATTTTAGTTTTCATTGTAATTTTAATTTAAGTTTTAGTCATTCTTGTACTTCATCTTAAACTTTTTTTTAAGAGTTAAAAAAACAAACATTTTATTCCAGTTAGTTGCCAAGGCAACATTTCTCATTTTCGCTTAATTTCAAACTTTTAAGTTTTTCATTCAATATTTATATTTTATTTAATTTACTCTTTATTTCAATAAACAAAAATGTTTTTTTAATAGCTTTAGCTTTAGTTTTAGTTAAGAATAGCATATCTTATATATATACAGTCTATAAAACATTATATATTGTTTCTTTTCATGAACGTGTGGTTTTAGGCCTTACATAAACCATGATGATGTCTGGAGACGCGGAGACTGAATGAGATTCGTTCATCCATCTTTTCCTAAAAAAGATCTCCATGCATCCTTTGTTCTCAAATCATTCCCATAAGGGGATTTCCTTAAGGAGAGCAGGGTTTGAGCGGTGACTTTAGGTGGAGTTGTTTGTTGTGTTTCGGTCCTGTTGCATTGTTTAGAGTAAAGATCGTGTCCTGCGTTTTTTCCAGGATCATGGGAGTTTTCTGTGCAACTTTCTGGCATAATTAAGGAAACAGCAGCACACACACAAACACACACACACACACACACACACACACACACACACACACACACACAC